TTGATAGGTAGCTTGGAGAGGTTAGTTAGAGATTTTGACTACGAATTCTTTAGATAGAGATGAAAAGTCTCAACTACCAATAACTAATTATATCATTGAACATTATTCTCATAGATCCATGTGCTATATACGTAATAAGATATACTCCCTCCGTATTTAATTAGATGTCGTTTTAACTGTAATTAGTTAAATTAAGGAAACATGACAAATTACAATTCTATCTTCAAAAAAAATGACAAATTACAAAATTGCTTTCCCTTTATTAGAGTTAGTTGTGTTTCATTAAGGGTAATTTGGGTATTATAAAGCAAAAGCTACTTAAAAAAATCAAAACGACATGTATTTAGAAACTAAAAAATTTGACTAAAATGACACTTAATCTCATACGGAGGGAGTAATATTGAGTAAACGCATAACCATTGTAAAATTGATATTTTTGTTGATATATCTAGGAGTTGTATAGCCATGTGATATATATACACTTCTAAACAAGGTTACATTATTTAGTTGTGAAATGTAGCCATGTGATATATATAGACTAGTTTATGTAGCTAGTAGACATTTTCTTTATTTGATGACATTCTCACATAATCTAATAGTTGGCGGAGGATAACAAAATCTTCAACGCAATTGCTCAAATTGGGGAAGTCTCATCCTACAATGCTGGTTTCAAAGTCAAAGAAGTTAGTGGTTGCATTTCCAATTTTTTGTTGCTCAATCAATTGAAACTTTACAAAGAGCATTTCCTTGTAAGGCAAACTTGTACTTAATATGTTTTTTTAAAGGTATATAAGTTTATTTTAATAAAATCAAATCCCTTAGAAAACACAAATTATTGACAAAGGGTTATTTGTTTTTAAATGATTAAAAATAATTCAGTCTTTTTGTAACTTACAAATATTATACTACTTAGACTCAAATTCCGCCATGATTGAATAACATTCTCTAATTCCAAAATATATACACCGTATCCTATATATAAAAACAAAATTAATGCTACAAAAATTCGAACTATTTATGTTGGTCCCTTATATAAATAAACTCCTCCTTTCATACCAAAAAAAAAAATCCATTTTCATTTCTCCTCTAGAAAAAACCGCCATGCCAACCTCTCTCTCCACCGTCGGTTACCTTCTTCTCCTTCTCCTTATCAGCTACGACGGTGGCTTCATAGGAGCCGCCGATGCCGAACATGACCTAAGAGCCACTGATCTTCATAATCATCGCCATCGACATCGTCGTCACCGTAGCCACCGTCGCGGAGAAGAATTCGAGTACTCAGCCATATCGTGTAGAGCTTACTCAGCATCATTGGACGAGTTTGGTGCCGTAGGAGACGGTGTGACCTCAAATACAGCGGCGTTTCGTGACGCAGTCTCACAACTTAGCCGTTTCGCAGACTACGGTGGCTCATTGTTATTTGTTCCCGCCGGACGGTGGCTCACCGGAAGCTTTAACCTCACCAGCCATTTCACGCTTTTCCTCCACCGTGATGCTGTTATCCTCGCCTCTCAAGTAAGTTCTTTTTTTTCTCCATTATAATCTATTTTCATTTATAAGAATTAAACAAATTAATTAGTAACACCCGTGACACAAAACTCCACAAACGTCTTAGCTTTGATGATTTTTTTATTTTTTTTTCTGTTGCATATCATACATACATAACGTGACATTTGTTGGCCAACTTCTGATGATATATTGGTTGGGCCATTCAATTTATGTTTATATTCGGTAAACAATTTGTTTATAATATAAACTATAAAGTATCACTACTTAAAAATTGTGAGATTTTAAAAGCTTGAGGGTCTTTGAAAAAATAAAACAATTTTATGTTCTACTTTTTTTTTTTTGACGTCTAGATTTATTATTTATTGCAAATTATGAGAACTGTTACATAGACGATTCTACAACGGACAATTCCTTCCGGCCCTTATTAGATCCACGACAGACGACACTACCTTCTCCATGCTCTTGACGGACACCTTCAATGATCCACGACCTGACGACACTTCTCTCTCTGCGTAGAATCTTGGCGAACGGCTATAATTGTACTTCGCTGGAGATCTCCTGCACACTTGCCTCTTTTTATCTGCAAATTTATTAATAAATCGCAATATCTGGGACTCGAACTCCAGACCTCTTGATGTAGAAGCATTAATTAACCCTTAGTCAACCAATGGGCCAAGGGGGCTTCCACATTTTATGTTCTACTTAAAAGGTAGATATTTATTAATTATTAGAATGCGTTACTCTATGGAAGGAGGTGGTTACGCAAAGACAAAAAAATAGGCAAAGTTAGTGGGGATCGATATTTGCCGGTTACAAGAGTGCTTAGGAAGATCTCACCCGTCCATTTCTCTTCCAAATCTGAGCCACATGTTACTTTTGGGCCTTACCCTAAAGTAGTTTGTTTTTCCCTTCAAGCTAAACTAAAATATGAGACCCTTGTCAAAGTTTCCCTTGTAAAAGCTTCCGAAGTTCTAGTCCTTGTTTTCCTAGTATTGGTAAAGATACAACGTTTGACTTGTAAGCTAATTATGAAAATTCTTGGTCCTAACGTTATTGATAGGAAGAGAGTGACTATGAAGTGATAGAACCACTGCCTTCGTACGGACGAGGGAGAGACACTGATGGTGGAAGGTTCATCAGTCTACTTTTCGGTTCAAACTTAACCGACGTGGTTATCACCGGTTAGTAGTTCAATTTGTATCGAATTAACCAAAAATATCCGAAAAATTACACCGAAGCGATAACTTATTTCAATTCGAAATCGCGATTCTTGAATTCAAAAGGTGAGAATGGGACAATTGATGGACAAGGAGAGCCATGGTGGGGAAAATTCAAGAGAGGAGAACTAAAATACACAAGACCTTATTTGATTGAGATTATGCATTCTGATGGTATCCAAATCTCCAATCTCACTTTCTTGAATTCTCCTTCTTGGCATATTCACCCGGTCTACAGCAGGTAAGAAAACTCACCCGGTTTACCCACTCGGTTATCAAATTTAACCTATTAAAACCGGTTTTCTTTATTTCTTAAAATGCAGAAATATATTTATCCAAGGTTTGACGATATTAGCACCGGTAACGGTACCAAACACTGACGGTATCAACCCAGGTACGATAATAAAATCATACCGACAAAATATTATAAATTCCAATAACCGGTTTCTTAAACTCTGGCTGAAATTAGTTCCGGTTTATATCAGATTCTTGTACCAACACGAGGATTGAGGACTGCTACATTGTCTCCGGTGACGATTGTATCGCCGTGAAGAGTGGATGGGATCAATACGGAATCAACTACGGCATGCCTACAAAACAGCTCTTGATCCGACGGCTCACATGCATTTCCCCTGACAGCGCCGTGATCGCTCTCGGAAGCGAAATGTCCGGCGGAATTGAAGATGTTCGTGCTGAAGATATTGTCGCCATTAACTCTGAATCTGGAATTAGGTATGTAACAACCCGGTTCACACAAATTAACCGGTCTAAATTCGATTTGGTTTACTGAATACCGATAAATCTGCAGGATTAAAACAGCTATTGGACGAGGAGGATACGTTAAAGATGTATATGTAAGAGGAATGACAATGCAGACGATGAAATATGTGTTTTGGATGACCGGAAGTTACGGTTCTCATCCTGACGAGCATTATGATCCGAAGGCGTTACCGGTGATTCAGAACATTAATTATCAAGATATGGTCGCCGAGAATGTGACGATGCCTGCTCAGTTGGCTGGAATATCGGGAGATCAGTTTACTGGAATCTGTATCTCTAACGTGACGATCACTCTTTCGAAGAAACCTAAGAAAGTGCTTTGGAATTGTACTGATGTTTCGGGTTATACCAGTGGTGTGACTCCGCAGCCGTGTCAGTTGTTGCCGGAGAAGCAGCCGGGGACTATTGTGCCGTGTAATTTCCCGGAAGATCCGATTCCTATTGATGAAGTGAAGCTTCAACGTTGCTACTCCAGAAGAAGGAATATGTGAACATGTAAAAGATCTTTTTTTTTTAACAAATACTTTTCTTGGGTTATAAGTAAACGTGTTATCAAATGGGACAGATTTGATTGAATAATAGACAAGCTTCAAGGGAAAAAGACAAAAAAATAATCGTCAAACACATATATTTTACATATCCTTGTATGTATTATTTGATTATTTGAGGGGAAACAAAACAGAGGCTTACCTTTGAACCAAGGAACTAAAGAACAAGTGCTTTTTGAGTGTCACGTCTGAAGCTGATTCCATCTCAAAGTATCTGTTTCGGCAACATTTGTATCAACTGTCTAGCATATTGGTTATTTAGTGTGATAGGCATATCAGACCATTGTTCAGATTGCGGTTGTAATCACGTTTACATTTATGTGGTTGAGGCAAAAACAGAGCACATGCAGAGACAATCAGTACCTTGATGAACTGGTCAAGTTTCATCTTTTTGTCTATTGAGGTCAATCCGAAGACTAACATGGAGTGGCTGAAAGATTGGAGAAGCAGCTACAATGCTACCACTAGCAGAAGTCACTGAAGAGTTGCGGTCATCGTCATCATAAGAATAAGATAGTCTAAGACCAGTTGAGACTAGATTCTCTTTAGGCACTTCTCGAACACAAATGTTGTTATGATTATAGTTCAAAGACATTTGAAGCTTCTGTTGTCTTTGGATGTTACCAATGCTTTTGTTAAAATCCAAAGACAACAATCAACAAGTATAAAACCTGCAGCTAAGGAAGAAGAAGAGACAAATCAAGATTTGACCTGTCTTAAGCAACTAATCTAATACAAATACTCAAACCAAAAATATGAATCATTTTGTCTATACACATTTGGATCATCGAGATTTGGTTGTTCCAGTTTTGTATCCCATTTTCTTGATCATATTATGGATAAATTATCTAGATCTTTGAACAGGAAAACGGAAAAGACCATTATGCCCCCCAAAAGAAAAGAAATAATCCTTTGTCTATAAATAAAGGATTCGTCCTCTAAAAGCCCTAAATTCTGAAATCCCTAGATCTGAAAAATTGCCTCTCTTCTCAACCTCTCCATGGATCATTGGGACCTGTACTCTGCCGTGAAATTCCCCGGTATTGGTGACACGGACATGAAAACCCCCGTATTCTCGGTAATCATCCTCTCCATATGGCTCTTTGTTTCTGTATTAGTGGTTTCTTTACCGATTGTGAGAAAAACATCTGATTAGATCTTTTCTACTTTTAGGGGATAACACTTTTCGGTGATAATATTGAGTTAATGAAATCCTACATGAAACCACGACGATGGTAAAATTTTTATGCTTTTCTTTCGAAATTTATAATGTATTCATGTAAAGATGCATGCGTTAATAATATTTGTTTCATGCAGTTGGGTTATTGTCGTTGCGGGATACGACCCATCGCTTCCTGCGGATGAAATCAAGAAGGCGTTAACCGATCATTTCCGTTCGTGTGGAGCAATCCTTAACGTTGAAATGCCCAGACACCCTGTGGAAAGGTTCGTTTGTTAGCTTCTTTCTTTGCGACAGACAAACGTTATAGGCTGAAATACAAACTGATCTAGTGTTCCTCAACGTTGTCTGTTATTATAAACAGTTCTGTTATTATCGTGGGAGATGACGCAAATGAGAAGGCGTTGGAACTTAATGGAAGTGAATTGGGTGGACGGAAACTTGTTGTTACTGCTAGGCCTTTTCCTATGCTGAAAAGAAAGGATGTTCCTTTTGCTTAATAAGATGACGGAGGAGTAGAAGAAAGCTCGCGACGACGAAGCTAAGCAGCTCTGTGGTGTTTTCAGATCGTGATACAATGCAACCTTAACCTTTTACAAAAAAAATTTAAACTCATTGACTGAAGAACAGAGAGTAGTTGAGAACTTTAACACCATGAGGTCCATGAATTTAATTTGGTGGTTTATAAGTAAACTTGTTTTGAAATGGGATAGATTTTATTGAATAACCGACAAAGCTTCAAAGGAAAAAGAGAAGAAAGTAATCGTCAGATACATATTTATATATATATATATATTTTACATATCCGTCCATATTAGGGATAACAAAATATAAGCTTAACTTAATCCATCTCAAAACATGTGTGTTCTGCCAAAATTGTGTCATCTATCAATTTCTTGATTGGAGTCTGATGCTTAGACCAGAGAAGGCTCTTCAATTCTGATGACACCTGAAGGACTGAAAGCAAACTCCTGCAGAGTATTAATAGCAAACGATTGTCATGAGAAGCCACAGAAGTTGCTTGAGATGGAGAAAAGAAAATTAAGTTTTGGGGGGGGAACCTTTTCAAGGAATTTGAATGAGCCAGAACTTTGAAATCGGACCAGATTTTCAGTAGAACTAAAGTTGAGGAACACTAGATCAGTGTGCCCTTTCAGCCTCAGAGAAACGAGACCCTTCGGAATCTTTGTGAATCCTTCAAGGTCTGTAGTTTCAAGGTTTAGAGCTTGTAAGAAGGAAGTATGGGAGTAGAATAAGTCATCATCAAGGGAATCGACTACTGTTGTTGCTGCTTCTGTATCCTGTCGATGCATTAGAGACGTCTCCCTAAATGCAAATAGTTTCTTGACATTGGTCACGACATCACTGACGAACACTTCATCATTGCTGCAAAAAGAAATCCCAATAGTGAAGAACTAATGTTGACATAGAAAGCCAACACACATATATGTATATATTTATATACCTATGTTGATAGCTCAATCCCGGTCTTGAGGCAATTGACGAGAGAGCTTGTCTCCATCCCCAAATTCTAGCTTCAGTATCAAGTATAGAATTATCATCTCTTCTCTTGACGTTTTTACGCACTGCGTCTTCTATCTTGAGAAGCCTATTGCGGAACCATCCCTTCAATTTTTTAACTGATTCAGCCGTCAAGTTATAAAAAATTGGGAAGGTATCGATCTCTCCTGCGTCCATAAGCTTCTTGATCTCAACTAGCTCATCAAGACATTTCTTTGACGTAGGGTACATTTTTGAGAAGACCACTATAGTAACCCTTGACTCGCTAATCCTGCCCTTCATCTCATCCTCTACATACATTGAGATTTGGTTTGATTCTAATCCATTTTTCAGAAGGATCACTAGGTATTTTCCGAGCTGTTTTTCACCAAAACTGATGAGCACTCTTCGAGGAGGACAGGATATCATTGCACGACGCTTCTGTATGTTACACAAGAGTAAAAAGCAGATCAATGCAGCATTGGAGTTGTAATCTTCGCCAAGACGGTTACTAAGATTCTCATTACTCTTTGTAGTTTGAATCCTGTCTGCTACCACATCTGTCAAATTTAATCCAAGAGGGAATTAAGGATACATGCATGTCGCAGAGTGATACGATTGCGTGATATGCAAGAAACTTACAAGTGACTTGAACTGACAAAGGGTCGCTTCGATCTTGGATTTCTTGAGCTGGGACAATAACCTCGTTACCAAGAAATTGTTGATGTTTCTCGGGCAGCAAACGAAGCTTCAAATCAAAACCCTAGAAAGTGATTATACCAATTATTGACTAATTATAACAACTCAAAAAGAAAGAAAAAAAATTGAGGGTTGAGAAACAAACCTCATTGCAGTATTCTAGAGAACCTAACAACACCAAGAGAATCTTTCCAGCTTGACCTGGCCTGCTTAGTCGTGAAGCGAGGATAGGATTCTGAAGAGAGATCAAGTCAAGAAACACCAAATCATCAGTGCCCAGGGAAACAACGACGTCGTTGAAATGTTCGGATGGCTTTGTGATAAGATCTTCAAGATCAGATATATTTAGGTTTAAAGCTTGTAAGAACGACGTTACTTCTTCCTGAGGATGCATCGGAGGCCTCTCTATGTTTGTAAGATAATTTTTTGGAGATGAATCGTCTAAGATTTTCTTGACCCCGACCGCAATTTCACTAACGAAATCTTTATCACTCTTATGATGACGAGGTGACCCCATTCTTTCGCAAACAGAGACTAAAGCTTGCCTCCATCCCCAAATCCTAGCCTCTGTTTCAAGTATCGATTTGGAGCTACTCCGATCAACCTTCTGGCGCACGTAATCCTCAGTCTTGAGGAGAGTATTAAGGAAGTAACCTCTCTGTGTCTTGACGCTGTCAGGTTCCACTTTGTAGAATATTGGAAACGGAACAAGAGATCCTGTGTCCATCTGCTTCTTGATCTCAACCAGCTCGTCTAAGCACCAGCATGACTCGGGGTACTTGTTTGAGAAGATGACGAGTGCGATACTAGACTCTCTGATTCGTTGGAAGAGTATACTGATTGGCCTGCCTCTAATCTCATCCTCGTCAATGAAAACGTTGATATCACTGATCTCCTCTAATTTAGACTTTAGAAAGCTCACTATGTTGTCTCTTTGAGCTTTACCCCTGAAATTGATGAACACTTGAGGCTTCCGTGACCCAGAAGAGCTCAACATTTGGGTTATTGTTGAAAGATTAATTTTCAATAGTTCGAGACAGAGCTTGATTGCATAGAATTAATATGAAGAAGGAGAAGATGTTTCTTGGATGTTAAATATATTGAGGTCAACACACCAAAGTCTCTCTGTTTATAATTATTATTTTTTCTTACCTAAATGTCCAGACGCGGTTAGGAGGAAGTCATGGGTCCATTAGTGCAAGGCTGGCCTTGAAATTTCAAACGCCTACGACAAAAAGAAAATGTAGGGAAATTGCATGGGTAATATTTGAGTTATAATACATATTGTGCATGTGTAAAAGTCAAATAATACCCTACTTTTAGTACTTATAACACATCTGTTTTTTTTTTTTTTTTTTTTTTTTTTTTTTTTTTTAACACATCTGTTAAATAATAAATAATGTCAATTAACAAATGATTATAGGTTTCGAATGGAGACCGAACCGTACAGTGTGGTGCGGTCCAAATGGTAACGAAACTATCCACATATATATATATATATATATATATACATATATATATATATATATATATTGTTATTATTAGAGTAGTACGGCAGTTGAACCATGCGTCTCCATTCGGAGCCTATATAGCAGTGGTATAGTCCCTGCATTTATGAGATAATAATGAAGTTCAGAGACCAATGTGCTACTGTTTAACTATGAATGCTGAAATGTGGAAAATAAGTTAAAGGATGAATTAATGCCACTGGTTGAATTTCTACGTTGCTATTTACAAACTATTAAATGCTTAATTTATCACTTGATCTGTATAATCTGTTAGAAGAAAGTTTGCTGGAGAGAAAATCAAGAAATTCTGTTATTCTCATTAATGAATATTGTTCTGTTTACATTCGTTTTATACAATGAGAACTAGGATCCGGTTTACTCTGGTTTATCAATACCAGATTACAATTACCAAATCATTTATTAGGCCTGGGCGTTCGGATATTCGGATCGGGTTCGGATCGGGTTTTTCGGGTTCGAGTTTTTCGGGTTTAGAAAACTAAGATCCGTTCGGGTATTTTAAAACTTCGGGTTCGGGTCGGGTTCGGATCGGGTATTTCGGGTTCGGATTCGGGTTTACCCAAAGTATCCAAATATAAGAAATTTTGTATCGGATTCTATGCAAAGTATTGAAAAATACTCAAAAAATCTATAAAACTCAAGTATTTTATACCCGAATGTAACCCAAAATAGTTAAAACACCCGTAAATATCTTAACATCCGAATAATTTAGGCACTTAGGTTATTACAAGTATAAATATTACTAATATATTATAACTATGTACTTATATTTGGGTATGTTCGGGTACTTGTTCGGGTTCGAGTTCGGGTCGGGTTCGGGTTCGGGTTTTCGGGTTGTGAAGTTTAGAACCCGTTCGGGTATTTTAAAACTTCGGGTTCGGGTTCGGATCGGGTTTTTCGAGTCGGGTTCGGTTCGGTTCTTCGGGTTCGGGTATTATGCCCAGGCCTATCATTTATGGTTTATCATAAATCAAACTCTAATATAATCTGATTTTCTATAGAGATTCTAATTTAAGTGGATAGAAAATCTACCCAGACAAAGTAAGTTTGTAATCTACAAGATATTGAACAAACCTTTGATATGCAATTTCAGTATAGTGGCAGAAAGTGTTTCGTGGATGGATCATGGAAAAGGACTGATATTTTTTCAGGAACAAGGTGGTATTGTACATCGGCAAATGGAGAGATGCCAACCATGGGAGCTGCAAACATCCGGCGAAGTCTATCCCCCCTACATACAGAAGTCGAAGCTCTACTCTGGGCGATGAAGTGTATGATTGGTGCTGACAACCAAGATGTAGCTTTCTTTACAGACTGTTCAGATTTGGTGAAGATGGTGTCTTCCCCAACCGAATGACCAGCCTTCTCAGTGTATTTGGAAGACTTGAAGAGTGACAAGGAAGAATTCTCTAATTTTTCTTTATCTTTAATTCCGCGTAGCGCAAATGTAAAAGCGAATAATTTGGCACGAAAAATTCGTACTGAACCGCATCATATCACTTATGTAAACAACATTCCCCAGGAATGACTCTTTTGAGCATCTATTTTATTTAAGCTGTTGACAAAAAAAAAAAAATATAGTGGCAGAAAGAAAATTTTCGATATACAGAAAATTGTTTAATTGAAGAATGTGTTGTAAAATGCTTCTAGATGTCTATTATGGAGTCTTTGGTCTTTTGGCATAACCATGAGTTATTGCTATGTAATATATATTTCATTCGATCAAGTCTTTTTTCATCTTACATTTGTTTGTCAACCAATCCTTCTTTGTCTTATTCATTTTGGCCAAATGATATGGTTTATATTATACTAGATAAGGACCCGTCCGATGGACGAGTTTAATTTTTAAAAATTAAAATCAAATTTAACAAAAATTAATTAACAATGTTGTACGTATAAATTTTGTTTCAAAAGTAAAAAAAAATATTTATTTTTTCACTGTTGCATTTTTTCTTTAACCACTAAAACTATTAATTCAAAATTATTTCGAATGAAATATATATTACATAGCAATAACTCATGGTATAGTTATATGAAGAACTAAAATTAAAAACATTCTTCATAAAGTTGGCGAATGAAACCAAAATGCTTTTTAATTAGAAACGTTAAAAATATAAACATGATAATCGACTAAATCTTTTAGTCTTTCAAGCTAACGTTGCGGGTTCGATTCCTATATACTTGATTGCAATGACATTATGATCAATCAATTAAAATTGATTAATTCAAAAAATTATAACCACGATTATATATGATTCTTATATAATTCAAATATGAACATAAAATTTTTTTTTTAAAAAAAATTGAAATAGTATAATTAAATTCAAAATATCAAAAAAAAAAGCATATATGGTTCTTACATATTCAAGTATTTCAAATAAAGAATATAAAACTTTACTTAAAATCATATTTAAAATCATGTCAATAATTGTTAAAAATATATGAGCACCTCCCGCACATGCCTAGAGCCGGGCTGGATACGACACTTCGCTTCCTGGGGATGATATCAAGAAGGCGTTGACGGATCATTTCCGTTCATGTGGAGCAATCGCTAAAGTTGAAATCCCTGTGGACAGGTTTGTGTTTGTAGCTTTTTATTTTTTGCGACAACGACGTAACCACCTGGAACCAAACTTAAATGTTAGCTTTGTTTTTAACAGACCCGCTTCTGTTATTATCATCGGAGATGACGCAAATGACCAAGGCGTTGGAACTTAATGGAAGTGAATTGGGTGGACGGAAACTTGTTGTTACTGCTACGGTTTATCCAATGTTGGTAAAAAGGGATGTTCCTTTTGGCTCCACTGTCCCAGCTACACAAATTTCGGAGGAGTAGAAAATGTGTTATATATAAAATAAATGTAAATGTGTACACAAATCTCTGTTCTTCTTGGGTTATAAGTAAATGTGTTATCAAATGCGACAAATTTTATTGAATAACAGACAAAGGCGTTCAAGGGAAAAGAAAAACTGCTCGAATACACGTACATATTTATTGATTATGTGAAGAAAAACAAAACAGAAGTTTAACTTGATAACCAAGTAAGCAAAGAAGAAGTGCTCTTTGAGCGTCCTGTCTCCAACTGAATCCATCTCAAAACATGTGTTTCTACCAAAATTGTATCATCTGTCAATTTCAGTTTAATATGAAGTATGAGTAATTGAAACATATTAATTATTTAATGTAGTAGACATATATATCAGACCATTATTGAGATTGATTGGACTCTAATGCCAAGGCCAGGGAAGGCTCGCTAAATCTGATGACACCCGAAGGATTCAAAGCAAAACCCTGCAAGGGTAATAATACCTAATGATTTTCATGAGAAGCCACAAAAGTTGCTTCAGATTTGAGAGAAGAAATTTAGGGTTGGGGATAGAACCTCTGTAAAGAATTTGGATGAGTCAGAACGCTGATATCGGACCAGATTTTCTTGAGAACTCAGTTTGAGGAACACTAGATTAGTGTGTCCTTTAAGCCTCAGAAGTACAAGACCATTGGGGATATCTGTGAAGCTTTCAAAATCTGTATTGTCACGGTCTATAGCTTGTAAGAACGAAGTTCGGGAATAGAATAAGTCATCATCAAGGGATTTGACTACTGTTGTTGCTGCTTCTGTCTTCTTTCTCTCCCTAGAGGCAAATAGTTCATTGACCTTGGTCACAATATCACTGACGAACACGTCATCAGTGCTGCAAAAAGATAGCCCAGTAGTGAGAAACTAATGTTGACATAGAAGCAACACACACACATGCATAAATATTTATATACCTAAGTTCATAGCTCAGACCCGGTCTTGAGGCAATGGACGAGAGAGCATCTCTCCATCCCCAGATTTTAGCTTCAGTATCAAGTATAGACTTATCATCTCTCGTCTTGATGTTCTTACGCACTTCATTCTCTATCTTGAGAAGCCTATTAAGGAAACATCCCTTGAGCTTCTTAACTGGTTCATCCTTTAAGCTGTAAAAAACAGGCAAGGGATCGATTTTCCCTGTGTCCATAAGTTTCTTGATCTCAACGAGCTCATCAAGACACTTTTCTGACTTAGGGTACTTATTTGAGAAGACCACTACTGCAACCCCTGACTCTTTGATCCTGCTCTTCGTCTCATCCTCTGCATACACTAATATTTGGTTCGACTCCAATTCTTCTTTCAGAGAGTTCACTAGGAACTTTCCGAGATGCTTTTCTCCAAGACTGATGAACACTCTTCGAGATGGAGGGTCGATTTTCATTTCACTACGGTTCAGTATGTTACATAAGAATGAAAAGCAGGTCAAAACAGCATCAGTGTAGCTAACTTCACTATTACGAAGATTGTCATTACTCTCTGCCACAGCTGTGTTACCAGGCAATTGTTGAGATTTCTTGGGCAGAAAGAGACGCTTGAAAGCAAAACCCTACAGAGAAATAACCAAATTTACTTGCTATAACAATTCAGAGAAGAGACTTTGAGGAGTTGAGGAAACTAACATTATTGTAGTATTCTAGAGAACCTAACAACACCAAGAGAATCCTTCCAGCTTGAACTAGCTCGATTAATCGCTGAGCGAGGATAGGATTCTGAAGAGATATCAGGTCAAGAAACACTAGACGATCAGTGCCCTGGGAAACGACGCCATTGGTATGAATAAGATCTTCAAGATCAGATTTCTTAAGGTTTAGAGCTTGTAACAAGGATGTCACTTCTTCCTGAGGCCTCTCTATGATTTTGAGACCATTTCTTGGAGTTGGAGATAAATCGGCTAACATTTTCTTGACCTGGACCACAATATCATTAACGAAATCGTTATCACATTTATGATTATAAGAAAACCCCATTCTTCCGCCAATAGAGACTAAAGCTTGCCTCCATCCCCAAATCATATCCTCTGTTTCAAGTATTGACCTGATGTTTCTCCTATCAACCTTTTTGCGGACGTCATCTTCAGTCTTGAGGAGAACATTACGGAAGTGACCAGTCTGGTTCTTGACAGACTCAGCTTTCACTTTGTAGAATATTGGAAATGGAACAATAGATCCTGTGTCCATTTGCTTCTTGATCTCAACTAGCTCGTCTAAGCACCAGCGTGACTCAGGGTACTTGTCTGAGAAGATGACGAGTGCGATACTTGACTCTCTGATTCGTTCAAAGAGTGTTGTGATTGGCCTCCCTCTAATCTCGTACTCGTCCATGAAAACATTGATTTCGCTGATCTCCTCTAACTTTGACTTTATAAAGCTCACTAAGGTTTTTCTTTGAGCTTTACCCCTGAAACTAATGAACACTTGAGGCTTCCGCGACTGAGAAGAGTTCGTCATTTGGGTTATGGTTGAAATAATGAATATTGAAGAGTTATAAAAAGCTTGATTGTGGAGGAAAATGAAGAAGGAGAAGAACCAGATGCATTGAAGTCAATACACCAAAGTCTCTTTTCATATTTACATAAAAAAATTTTTATTACCAAATGTCGAGACGCCGTTAGTTGCACATGGTTCCATTAATTAGTGTGAACTTTGATGTTAGATTTATACACTTGATCCGTATAACCTAATGTTTCTGTAGAGCTTCTTAATTTAAAATCTATACATATTCCAACAAGGCAATAGTTTAGATACATCTGTATCTGAAAGATGTTGTCTCCATCTTGTGTCTTCAACTGCTACATTATATTAATCAAATTAGGTTCCATGCCTTAATTGATGTGCAGTTTTTAATGTTTCATATATATGTTTATTATGGAGTCTGGAGACTTTTGGTCATAAACAAATAATATTGCAAAACCACCGAGTCTGTCTTTGTCTTACATCTTTTTTGTCAACCAATCTTTCTTTGTCTTATTCATTTTTGGCCAAATAGTATGTTTTCTATTATACGGTGACGCTGTCCACAAATGCAAATCAAGGATCTGTTTATTTGGTAACTAGGGAATTGTACTAGCAAAGAGAGGGATTTATACATCAGATTTGTGTTAATGTTTCAACTTCTAAAATTGCAATGTCAAGAAGATATGACACACAAAACACATGTTTGGTAACAGTTGACATTTTTTGCGCATCAAACTCTCTTTTTATCACTTAATCTTTCTTCGGCGTAAAACTAAATATAACACAATCTATTATAAATTTATAATAATGCATTACACTTGCAGACAACAGTTATCGCTAAACATACAGTTTGGTAGTGAAAACTGAAAAACAGAGGCTTTTGTTTAAGATCCACAAGTAAAAGAAAGAAGATCAGTTGCTTGCAACAGAGGGTTCATTTGAGCAATATTGGATCCTCTAAATATTGCTTGCAACGAAAGGTTCATTACAACGGAAAGTAAATATAACTACATATCTCACTACTTAGTTTCGTTTCTTTAAACCTCTACTTAGCATTCTCCATTTGTGGCTTCTTCTGTTGAGTCTTCAAAGTAAAAAAGAATCAATTCTTCTTTCTTGCTCTGCTAATGCTCTGTAAACCCCAAAACAATTTGCCTCTGGACAGTTTGATTTTATTGGTATGCACTAGGAAGAAAAAAAACTCGCAATTGAATAATTAGGCATCGAACTATCTTTTATTAATTGATCTTTGTTCAACGTAAAAATCAGCATGAGTACAATTTCAAGACGACAGAACAAAGGCTTTTGCTTAAGAAACAAGTAAAAACAAAACAGACTCTTAATTGCTTGCAACGGAAGGTTCATTTCGGCAATTCCTTCCTTTGGATCATCTCTTGCTCCGCATCATGTAAGACACAAGCAAAGCTCCAAACAGTAACGCAGAGACGAAATGCAAGCTGTGCCACGTCTTTGTTTTTTCCGGGACAATATTGGCAATGCTCCGTTGATTCTCATTCTGCTTTTTAACCATGAGCGCTTCAACTGTAGATTTAAAATCAAGTTGTTGTTAGTCAATATTCAGACGACATATGCAGAGGTCTATGTCATAATTTGAACTTACAAGGAAATGGGCCATATTGATCTCTATGGTCAAGATTTGAGGCGCTGCGTGTAAGAGTAGAAGACGAAGGCTTCAAATCAATACTCTGTGAGTCACACCATAAGCGTACTTATCAGATACTGATGAAGTTTACAGATTTAAAAAAAAAACAAATTCTCAGAGAGACACTAATACAGAGACCTTGTTGTCGTCTTCAGGATTATAGCTCAGTCTCAAAGTTTCCAAGCTCTTTGAACGATGGAGCCGGATGTTTATGTTTAACTGATTGACATTATAAATAATCTGGTTTGGTTGTCTTCCTGATGTCTGCAATAAATAGATTTAAGAACCCTGTCTGCTTTAAGGCAAAACTACTCATGTAAAGAACTAAGAACACACCTCACTAGTTTCTAGAGTACTATAATTACGCCCTTCCTCTGCTGCAATATTGGCTAAATTTATGTTAATCTTTTCAACGACTTTCTCCACGAAAGCCAGCTCAGGACTGCAAACAAACAGTTTATATTAAAAATGTAATTACCTAAACACTTTGGTCAATGAAAATTTTCAACAAAAAAAAAAACTAAACACTTTTGCCAAATCATACCTATTCTTGTCATGAGTCAATCCAGCTATTTCAGTGACGATCTTCAAAGCTTTCTTCCATCTCTTGATCCTGGAATTAATACGCTTAATCTTTTTCTTATTGACTTCTTCAGCAAGCAAAGAGTTTTGCAAAGCCAGAAACTTTTCCCCAAACTTTCCGCTCTGTTTCTTAACGCTTGAAACCTTCACCTTATGGAAGATGGGTATGACTGCTTTGAGCGCCTCCGTCTCAAAGCATTTCTTGATCTCCACAAGCTCGTCCAAACACCAATCTGACTCGGCGTAGTTCTTGGAAAAGATCACAATCACGATCCTTGACTTTCGGATGTGTCCGAAGAGGTTCTGGAGCGGTTGTCCAGTCACATTGTCGTCAGTGAACACATTCACATTGCCATCGATCAACTTCTGTTTGAGATGAGTTAAGAATCCGTACCGCTCGTCTTTTCCCCGGAAACTGATGAATACTTGATCCTTATTGTAATGCGTAATCCCCATATCTCAAACACAGTTGTTTGGATCTCTTTTTGCTAGTTAGAGACTAGAGAGAATACAAAGTTTGAGAGTGATAAAGAAAAGTCAACCAAACAATCAAGGGTCTATACTTACTAAACTTGGTTACTTAAATAGTATATCAAAATTTATCCATGAAACTTTGACCCGTCTCACATTACGCGTTTCAGTTTTCACCATCTAACTTTCCTAGGAAAGACCAATTATATGATTTTTTTTCTCTCACAATAAATGGTACACATGCTATCCTTGATCAAACAACCTAACGTGGGAGAGAAGACAAAAGTAAAATAAATTCGGTTATTTAACTATACGTACCAAATATTTAAAAATGATTTAGGTGAGCATCAAAATGTCACTGCCATAACTATGCTGATGGAAATTAGTATATGGGTTCAATGTTATACGTACCAAATATTTAATCAATTAATTTGTTCATAAACTATAGTTTAGCAATCAGTTGAGTCTTTCTTTACAATATGTCGTTTTGTCAACTAATCTTTCTATATCTTAGTCATTTTGAACAAATGATATATATTAACACGGTCCAATAATGGACACTAAAGATCCATGTGTTTAGTATTAGAGGTCACAAAGAAATCCAAAGACTTTGTCTCAAGAGAAGCCCATTAGTCTATGGAATTACTTCTAAGTTCTATGCAAGTAGATATATATAGTTTTGTAATGACATCAAAATTGTTAACTTTGGGAGTTGCCATTTGGAGCAACTCTCTTCTTCATCTTATCATATATAAAATCTAGAATCATTTGATCTTGGTGACAAACCTAAAGCTTCTTCCTTTCTTTCTTCTTTGCATTTGAATAAAGCTCTTTAGTGAGTTACATCATTTCATGTCTTATATTTCTATCTTAATAAGCTCTTTTAGAGCATATGTAAATCTGTCTTGCTTTAGATTTGCTTTCATTTAGTAACTAGGATATTACGGCTTCATCTATTTAGTCCAGTGTCTCATTTTATTAGGAAATGGAAAATTTAAATCAGATTTCATTTTGATAAAAAAAAAAATCAGATTTATATATAAAATTTTGACAAAAGAAAACATTTCTAAATTTTTTGATGGATTTTGAGAGAATTTCAGAAAATGTAAACTTTTTTATGAACTCATATGGGCCTATGGCCCTATAAAATCTCAAATTCCAAGTCATACACATAAACATAATATCGTTTTCACATAAAATTCGAATAAAGCAAAAGTAGAAACATTTTATTGAGTTAGCACCCATGGCTAAAACATCTAAAAAATCCAGATACTCAGTACAGTCTGCATTCAAAGTACTAGGACAGATTCCTTTAGACATACTCAAACAAACACATGATTAATTACTCTCATGCATTCGAAGCCGAATTCTTGACAGGGTATGAAGCAAGCATCGCAATCCCACATAGACCTGATGGATATTCAAAGTTACGAGCCATCTTCGCGTAGCCAGCATCTCCCCACGTCGTGCCCCATGAGTTTCTCACGATCCAATAGTCCTGACCGTTCTCACTACCGTACCCAACGATAACAAGTGCATGGTCAAGATCTGTCCCGCATGGTCCATTATATATACCCTTAATAATAATGTAAACATAGACCATACAAGTTTATTAATTGTATATATTTGGATCCAACAAAAAATCAATTTTAAAAGTAGGATAAATACCGATCGATAGAGCATAAATTCTTGGGATTTTTTGTCAATGCCGACACTCACGGGCTGGTGAGCAACCGCCTTTTGTAAGGAAATCTCATCATTCGCTGGCACATCCTCGTAGCTATCAATTGTGATGATCTTGTTTGACTGCGACAAACGTACCAAGAAACAAAAAATTGAAACTAGGTATGTACTTAAAGATATATTGAAATATAGCAGCACTAAAAGGTGAACCTCTTTGCGGTTACAGGAGCCTTGCAAGCCCTGGTATGGATAATCTGTTTCGGAATCAAGACCATTGTTATTGATAAGGAACTGGAAAGCTTTGTCCATTGTGCCTGATCCATAACAACCGTTGTTGACTAAGTTGCAGTCGACCAATTCTTGCTCGGACAATGAGATTAACTCTCCTGTCATGATCTTGTTTATTCCCTCTACTGCTGCCACTGTGGAGAACGCCCAGCAGCTGTCTTTCATTTAAATTATTATGCAAAAAAAGAAGATAAGTTAAATTCCTAATCGTGATATCTTTCGATCTTTAAAATTCTGCTTGTATTTTTTTTTTTTTTGAAAAAAATTTAAAGTCTGATTGTTTCAAAGGCATTTATGTAGTAGCATTTAGTAGTTAAAATGTTTTGCGAATTCTTAAAAATAAATGGAAATTTTTAAAAGAAAATAAAATTGCCCAACACAACACTATTTGATTGAAAATTTTAAATGCAGGCGAAATTTCTTCCTCGTTTATATTTACAATCACAAAGGGGTTTGATATATAAAAAAAAAAAGAAAAAAAAAAAAAGACAAAATTATCAAATATTTTAACAAAAGTAACTAGCACACCATCTTACCAAAAAAAAAGTAACTAGCACACCAAAAAAAAGTATGAAACCCTACTAGTGATTTTATTTAAAGGCATTCTAAAGGGAATAACAAACTTAAGGTCACGAAGTAAAATTTCGATATTAGGAAAAGACGCCTAAATTTATCTAAGAAACATATACATATAGAACAAAGGCTAAAATTTGTTGGAAAAAAAAAAATTCATGAATGTGATGAAGAGTAGTAAAAATACTCACTGCAAGTGCCTTGGTCTTTAATAGCCGACACTGCACCTTCGTTCCTCCAGTCAACTGACTCGGGAAGCTGATCTCCGGCGAGTGGCACGTACCTACGACTGATTCTGAGATTCCTTTGTTTTGGTTTAGGGCTTCCAGGGAAAAGGTTTCGGTACTCTTGAACGGTTAGGTCAGCAAAACGAGTCAAACCAAGCTGGTAAGAGAGGTTCTTTGCATTGTGGTGGTCGATGAAACGGAGATTGTCCTTGAAGTTCTGAAAACGCTGTTCCTTCTCTCCGAGAGCATTGGTATAAGTCTTCCCGTGCTTGGACATCCACATATGGAAGATAAACCCTACCTCCTCGTTGCTCCGGTGGTCACCGCCGGATGTGACGGGAAGGTCCATGGCCGAGGACGGCGCCGAAAGAACGAATATTATCAAAAGAAAGAGTATTGTCATGAAAACATGTTTAACAAAGCCCATTTTGTATATTCTTCTTAGTGATTATGAGATATTGCAAAATGGTCAGAAACAAATGACCAATATATGATGGGTTTTATCGTAGCCAATGACGTGTGTTTGGATATATAAGAATTTAATCCTGATTTCTAAATTCTTGACCTACAGCTAATTCGATATCTTGTACCTAGAATCAATTCCATATATATTCAAAATCTTGAGTCAAATTTTGGATTTTGTTTTCTATATACTACATGTAAATAACTGTTGGAATTCGTTTTCAATCTTTCTAAATATAAAGCTTAAGAAAAATCTTTTAAATTATAAGGAAATGAAAAAATTTATTTGGAGATTTGCCCATCTGTACCTTTATTACCAAATTATCAATCATGTCTAAAATTACCCTTTTTACTAGATTAGACCAAAATTTTAGACAATTTTAATGAGGAAAAATAGAGGAAATTTTGGTTTGGTCTATTAGAACAGAGTAATTTAGGCATAGTTGATAATTTAGTAATAAAGGTACAGATGGACATCTCCAAAAAAAAAAAATCCTTTATTTCCAAGTAAACCTTTATTGATTAGCATTGTCCAGCAATACTTTTATATAATGCTAATCCTATTTTGCCCTTAATTTTATAATTAAAAAAAAAACTTAATAATTTTTTACAGTAAATAACCTTCATAAAAAAAAACCTTATTTTCAACAATACAAAATTAATGTTAGTGTTTGATAAACCCCATAATTTAGAAAGAGGTTTTAGTGTATGTAGAACCCTCTTAGTGAGAAAAAGGGTTCTATAGGTTTACATAAGAAAAATCAAAAATGATTATCAAACTTTTAGACAATTCTAAATTTTGCAGAACGTAATATAAATAATATATACAATTTCCATAAATATAGATTCAGTTCCAGTTTTTCTTAAATATAATCGTTGGTTCATTATTCTACTCACACCGTAGATTTTAAAGAAATTATTGAACGAGGGTTAATTAATAGCTTAGTCCAAAAACGCAAGTATTAGTACCTTAGGTTTTAAGGTAATTTGGGAAGGGGGATATTTATATTTCATGTACCAAAATAAGCGAAGGCATGTCAATGCATCTAAAGACCTTAGGTGAACTTAAATTTTTGTGGAAAAAACAAACTTGAAAGTAGTGCCCTTCTTTAACTATAATAGGTACAGAAAATAATGTATTTGCAGGATCTAGTATTTAACTTGGTAAAAAAGGTTTTCTTGGAGGAATATGTGCTTCCGAATATGACTAGCTCGGATGGTTTACATCTTAGCGGATATGAACAAAAATTAGTGTCATATATTAAGTTAAGTTACGAGTCGAGGCTTCGAAATTTTTAATACTAATTAAGAAAAAGAAAAACATGCAGCCAAAAAAAAGCACCTAACCCTTATCAATCTGCCGTTACTTCAGTGTATTTGTCTTTGACTTTGACTACATATGTAGTGTTATGTTAACACTAACACTAATGAAATGAATTAATAATGCTGCTGTGTTTTTTTCCTTTGATCCATCAATCAAATTCCTCTTACATTCTAAAATAACGCGTTTAAATTTTCTTTTAGTGGTTGCCATGTGACGGAAAACAAAATAGCATCAATAATAATAATAAATCTTAATTGTCTTTTCTGATTGTCAAAATGCTTTTGTGACAATGATACGACCAATGTTATTGATATGTGAATTATTCATTTTTTATTTATATTAGACTGAAGATATACATTGATATTGATATGCGCGTTATTTGTGGAACTATAAGAATATAGTTAAAGGTTTGATAACTAATTAATTTCCTTAAGTAATTAAAAGCTCATGATCACTTCATTGCCACGGCATTCTCATCACTACTCTCTCGTGTTAAATATATAAAAGGTGATGCAAAAAGAGTTTTCTGAAATAACAAACTACTATATAAATAGTAGTACAAAATTGGACCGACAATGATATAAAACTATTTGATGTTCTTTTATAACCGTCATTAACGGTAAATTCAACCGACCATAATTATTGACTTTAAAATGATTTGTAAAGGACCAAGGTCTTGATACCCGTAATTACCGCAGCCATTTATCTGACCGCACTCAGTTTCGCAATATTATTGTATGATCTCGTAAATTCAGTGGAGTCATATCGTTTGCGTTGAATTTTAGATGTTGAAAGAAAAAAATTACGTTCAGGTTTGAAAACATATATTTTGCAAATTGTATAATATTCTCCGCATGCATCAGCATCTCTAATTCTTTTCTTTGTCTGTTTACATTTTAAAATTTGAGATTTTGTCTTTTTACTTTTGTAATTATCCAGACAGTTTGATATTCAGACTAAAGTACTTTAGTAAAGTCCAATTTTTTTAACTAATTGATGTTACTGAACTATCATGATCTCTAACCAAAGAAAAAAAAAACTATCAACATCCTTGAATTTTCATTAATAAATCTGTATAAACGGAGTATATCATTTTTTCATAACGGTAACATTTTTCTTGATCATGTGTTACTTGATATATGCATTAGTACCTGTGCGTGATGAAATTGGTAAAATATTTTGTTTACATTTTTTTTCTCAAATATTATTTCGTCAATGGTAAGGAAAAATGAAATATCTGATATAAATTAAAATATTAAATGATAATTTTTAAAAAACTTTCAAAACAAAAGTAAACAAATTATACAAATTTAAATGACTACAATAACTAAAAAGTAGATCATGTCACTTAAGTCAAAGTATCCTTCCGTGTCACACCCAAAAAAAAGAAGTATCCTTCCGTTTGATCTCAACCTGATCGACAGTTTCTGTGTTGAGGTTTAAGAGCGTACTAAGAACCGACGATGATCCGTATCGGCTGTTTCTCTATAGATAGCGTGACGACATGCATTCAAATATGTCACATTCGAAAAGACATATACATGGTCTATGCACTTATAGTACATTCCAAGTAATAGGTGACCGACAGAAATGCAAAGCTGTTCATTACCGAAAAAAGGAAATATAAAGCTGTTTTGTATAGACAATTTACCCTGTGATAGAGTGTAAATTTCGAATAAATATGCATTATATTTTAATAGTTCTCATGTTTTAATTAGGAATAACTTTTAGAATTTTTGGCTTTTGGTAATTTTTTATAGTCTGCTTAAACTTATAGAGTTTTTGTTATTAAAAAAAAAACTATATAGTTTTAAAAGTTGAATTTAATGACAATACAAAAAAATCTGAAAAGGGTTTTATCTGTTTCTTTGATTTAGGTAAGTAGATCTGTCGAAATTTCAATGACAAATTTTTTTGGTTTTTTTTTTTTGATAAAATTATCCGAATAAATTTGTGATGTATCCTTATTTATCATACACGCTTCCTCTACGTCACCAAGTGACCAAACCATATGAGATCTAGCTGGGTCTAAGTACTTTTTATTAAAAAACGATGATTAAGTCATCATTCTTTACATATTCAATCAGGTTTCTTCTGGCGCTTGAACGTCTTTTCATAAACGTGACCATACACTAACTCTATCCATTAAGAACCAATTAAATATATATTCATTTGTAATCTAATCAGTAGTTGGTAAAATTCTTCCACCAGTTTCCATGGTTTTGTTACCGTTTGACATATCGTGAACCAATGAGCTAGTCTAGTTACAGTTGATTCCACATTGAAGAATCTTTGAAATTCACTACAACAGTATTCTTGCGATTAACCAATTTTTCTTTCCTACTTTTGTCAAGGTCACATGGCTAACTTTGCCAGATGCGAAAGCGAAAATCATGTCCACGAGATCTTTTTGGTGAAACATAAATTACCAATTAAATTCAATCCAAATAAAAATATGTTGTAATGAATAATGATATATCTACCACTTTAGTGAAAAAAAAAAATTAATGAAGAGAGACGTTTGGATATCAGAATATTTCTTTCTTTGTATATTTTTCTCCTTAACATGCTTTTTCTTTTTTAATACCAACCTAATATCCTCTTTCTTCATCGATATCTCTCAAAAACATAATGAAAAATAGAATATTGGATCAAATTGATAACACAAAACTGTATAATTTTTTTAGTTATAAACTGAAACCGTAAACTTTTACGGAATAATGTAAAACTGTACAAAACAATGGTACTTAAAAACTGTACAAAAAGCTGAGAATAATAATTTTGATATTACTTTTGTAATTTGGCAACTGTCAAAACAATATATTCCATAATGCAGCTGTATAAGGTTATCATTCAAACCTATTATTTCATTATGAAACTATTCTGTATATTTTTATTTTGCTTTTTATGAACTAGCAAAATTAGTTTTCAGAAATAACTTCGAAATGGAAAAAGTTTTTTTTTGTTTGCCTTAAATATGACTTTATTAGACCCAAAAAGAGAATATTGACAAGTTTCTTTTCATTTCGAGATAAAATGACGTCATAAGAGAAAGAAAAAGTCGCCTAAGACGAATATTCTTCACTTCACGAGTCCCAAAGAATAAAAAAATAAAAAATAAAAAATTTGCTTAAAACATTAAAAACAAGGCTTGTCTCTCTCTCCGACAAGACATGTTTACCACCATTTCGGTTCCTTCCTTAATATCATCACTTCCTTCTTCTTTCATCTAAATCCCCAAAACCCCTCTTTTTTCCCAATTCCTCAAAAATCTCTCCTTTATCTCCGGAAAAATTCACTCACTGTTGCTTTTGATTCATTTCACATTACACTCTAATGGCTCGGCCGACGGAATTTCAAGGCTCATTCCTGAGTCGAATCAGCATCCGCCGCAATCAGATCGTCTCCATGGACGTCAATCACGAGCACGAGCTCGAAGAACTCGAGTATTTCCAGAAACACGTAGCTGAGCGTTTCTCGGAGTTAATAACATCTCCATCGCCGCATCATTCCTCCTCCTCCTCCTCTGACGCCGCCGCCGTATCTCACCCGTCTGATCCGATTCTCTCGATCCCTTGGCTACAGAATCTTCTAGATGTTTTTATGTCCTGTGAAGCAGAGTTTAAGGCGGTGTTGAGCACGACCCAGATCTCGAAATCGCCGTCTTTAGAAAGGGTTTTGCCGGAAATGCTTGATCGGATTTTAAAGGCGTTGGATTTATGTAACGCCGTCGTTAACGGGATTGATTCCGTTAGACAGAGTCGACGTTTAGCGGAGATAGCCGTCACGGCGCTTAAACAACGGCCGTTATGTGACGGAAGCGTTCGTAGAGCTAAGCGTGCGTTAACAAGTCTCCTCATTGGCTTAAACGCTGATGAGAGGAGAGATAGAAACAGTGGAGGAAGTGGTTCCAGTAACCAACGAAGGACAACGTCACGGTCTTGGTCGTTTGGAACGCGTAGCAACGTCACCGGAGGAGGATCATATGGCCAGGTCGTCAGCAAGAATTGGTCTGCAACGAAGCAGATTCAGGCGATGGTGGCCAATCTGGTGCTGCCACGTGGAGCTGAAGCTTCTGGACCGGTGATGCCTGTTTATATAATGAGCAGTGTTATGGTTCTGGTGACGTGGGTGCTAGTGGCGGCGGTTCCTTGCCAGACAAGTAGCGTTCTTGTGGCGCCATTGCCACTTCCCAAACACCAGAGTTGGGCTAGCGCCGCTGTGAACATTCAGGAGAGGATTGGTGAAGAGCTGAAACGGAAGGAGAAGCGTTGTGGTGGGGGTGGTGGTGGATTGATGGAGGAGATGCAGAGGATGGAGAAGATTGGGTTATCTTTAATGGAATTTGCAGAGAGGTTTAGGTATCCGGCAGATGAAGAAGAGGAGGTGGAAGTTGCGGAAAAGGTGGATGAGATGGAGGAGATTTGCCGGGGAATGGAAGTAGGATTGGAGGATTTGCAGAGACAAGTGAGGCAAGTGTTCCATAGATTGGTGAGAAGCAGGATTGAGATTGTTTCAGTGCTTGATCAAGCTCCTGCAATCTAATCTGTAAAAATCCTCAATAACAACAGCAAAATCTCTTCTCTTTTTCTTTTCTTTGGCGATTTTTAGTCTTAAAAACTAATCTTTCAAAAATCTTGATGTGTATAATCTACAAATCGTATACATACACACCAATGTTACTGTTTTTGGTATATGATAACTGCAAAACTCTATTACTGAGAGATTAGATTCATGGTGCTTTCCTGAATCTGTTCTTCTGTGGCTTTCGTGTTTCTTTTCCTGACTTGCGATTGTTTCCAGAAGCTTCCCTATGTTTTCCGAAGCTTCTGTTAGCGGGGCGCTGTGGTCCTGTTCTACTTCCATCAAGGCCGGAAGCAGGTGTGTGTTGTTGATGTGTTCTCTTTTGCCGTTTGAATTTGTTGCCGTCTTGTTTGGCTGTAGTTTCTGCTGAAGCTTCTCTGTAATTTCTTTTCCGCGGCCTGTAAAAAAGAACCAGTTATTATTTATGCATATAATGAGCAAGCAATGATTTGATTGGATGTGTTCTCGATCTCGGATAAAAATTGCTTTTCTTAAGGATCTTACTCTCTGGATGAATCGATGGATGTAGTCTGTGAATCATTGGTCTCTTCTTTGTCTTTTGATTTCCCCGAACGGTTCTGCACATTAAGATGAAAGTTCCAAGATGATGCAGACATTTCTTTCAAATTATACAATTCGAGATCTTCAAAGAAAATTTACAGGGAGAGAGAGAAACCTCTAAAACTGTCTGGATGAAATCTTTGTGCTTGTCTGGTGTGGCTAACTGGACTGCGCGAGTGCCGCACTTCCTTACCATAATCTCAACTATGATCGTTACCTAAATGCACATTTTTCGTAAGGCAAACTACCCGTTTTGAGGAAGGAGAAGAACTGAAATCACTTGGAAACTAAAGTCAAGCACTATCCTGATTATTACCTTTGACTTAAAATAATGTCTTGAAACAGACGACCAAGGGAGAATTTCGTATAAGAGGTTCTGCAATAGACTCTGCAAGTCCTGGGCTTGCGATGTCGAGACTAAAACTTTCACAAAACCCAAAACAGCCTGGAGATACATGAAGAACGCATGAGAAACTTGAGGAGAAAAAACAAAATTACATATTACTTAGAGCAACAACATCTTGAAGTCTGACTAATAAGGCATAAGGTGGACTTACTTTTATTATCTCGATTGATTTGGTGTGAAGCAATGATAAAACAGATGAAAGAAGCTCAGGTGAAGATAGGCAGATCTCAGGGTCTTTGTATATCAAGGCAGATAATGCAGACACTGCTCCACTCCTTATGTGCGGAGACGATCCAGAAATATAACCCGTTATCTGAAGATTCATGGATGCTAATGGGTCATTTGAGAGATAACGAAAGTGGATTAAAATAGTTATGGCGAGCTCGTCTCATGCACTTACCATGTTAATCAATTTAAGACAAAGCTCATCACTGGTGATAGATGATGAATTTTTCAGGGTGGTATACACCATAACCAGTGCATCACAAGCTGCTTTCCTATGTTCTTCTTTCCCCTGTATATACAAAGGCAAGATAATGTTTAGTGTCTTGAGTAAAATTGTATTGTTTCCCTAAGAACCAACAAACTGAAACAGCAACGAAGCAAACAGTATGTTTACATCTTTAAGTGTCAAGATCATCTCGTTCAGAATAAGGAAAGCCTTCTCATTCTGTTCCTCGGTGCTTGACTGGAAAAAAAAAGTAAAACATCAAAAATATCAGAAATTGTCTTCATAAGGCAAGAATGAATTAAACATTTTATAAAACAGAGCATGGATATACTCAAGCAATGGATATCTACCGATATCAAGTTATAATTGATACAAAAGAAAAAAATTTAACCTGAATTCCGTGAGCCATTAGAACGTGGAGACATGCAAATCGGCTTCTAGAAGACGCTGCATCCTCTGGATTTTTATGGCTGAGTAACATCTCTATTACTTCTGCAAAATGAGATGCACAAAACCAACCATGTTCCTGTACCAATGAGGGCAAAGCCACATAAGCATGAGGGCCACACAGTGAACAGTATAAGAGCTACTGCAACAAGCTTAGATGAGGTAACCAACCTGTAGAACTCTGCTCAGAGTATCATATGCCCCACGAAGATCAGCCTCGTCGGTGGTCTAAACCCAAAACAACTCATGGATCAGCCTCTACATAGGAAAATTCTCTAAGCTCAAGTTTAGAAACATACCTGAAAACTTTGGCGAACAAGATTATAAATCAACTCAATAAGATCTTCCTTGGCTCCTTCAACAAATGAAGATGCAAGATCCAGCACAGCACTCCTGCAAGCAAATGCCAGTGACAAAAGGTCATACGAGGTATAGGAGAAGAGGAGAAATAACTTGATGTACACATGGATGCCATGCTATTACAATGTCTAATGATATTCAAGAAATTTAACAAGTCAGGCAAGAGATTTTACGAGGATGAGTTCCATAGTAAAAGTAAATATAACAGGGCACAGCATACGACTTGAACTATACCTCTTTAGCTGTGTCTTTGTGGCACTGCAGTTTTCTTTTTCTTCATCGATAGAATCATTCGATTGATTGACCTGCCCCTCAGTCTCGTTTTCACCAGCAGGATCAAACTTATTTAGCAAGGATATTAGAATCTTTTTCCTAACTGACGAATCCAGAGTAGAAGCTAAGCATCCAATTGCAGCCTGCCATTTCAAGAACATTAGCTATATACTATTTTCTTCAGCGTATCAAAAGTTCAATTGCTTAACTTAAAGACCAAGTAGACCTGTGCTGAAGAAATTGATAGATATAGAAATTAGAAGCCAAAAATTTTTTTTCACAAAGAAATAAAATCACTGCATGCATCCTTGCAATCGAAAAGAATCTAAAAAAGGCTCCTAGTTAGGTGAAAGTTGACATCATTTACGACATTAATTGACAATATACTAATAAGAGTTTGAGCAACAATGAGTTTTTTCATATGCAAGTATAGTTTCTGCTTAAAAGTTATTACCCTCTACGGTCTATGAGCAGACAAGGAGTCAATCAGAATTTAATCTCACCAAAAAATGCGATTTCCCTAGCAAAAACTATCTAGAATATGTGTAAGTGTTTTTCTCTAAAACAGAGACAACGGAGGATCTGAAACCAACTTGTTATAAGTTTGAAATGCAGAGAATAAGAAGGAAATTTGTAAACCTTAAAGTCTGCACTGATCTCTGTGCCTGAAACAGTGAATACATCAACAAGAGTTTGAAGCAACTCTGTCGAGCTTGATGCCAAAGCCTTCATGTTTTTAGTTGAAGCTTTCTTCGAATAGTGAAATCCACTTTCGAGCTCTGTTGTTGCATCTTCTTCGCTTATGGCTTTTGCTTCTCCCATATCTGTACTGGGCTTAGGCATTCTTTTATTCTGATTTACAAGCATCTAAAAAAGGAAAATTTCAATGAGAACGCCAAGTTGTCAGCTCACCTAGCATAAATGAAATGTGAAGGAACTCACTTGTAGAGAAAGAGCCACAGCTTCATGCATGAAAGATTTATTTTTAATAAATTTAACCATCAGTTTGGCTAATGATCCAAATTTTTTGGGCACATCAACTGGATAGTTACAAAAGGCAGGTAACAGTCTCAGAAGCTCATGACCACAAGCCCGCAACTCTTTGCCGTGAGCTGACTTTTTAGCTAACAAACAAGCATATAAATATATGTTAGTGAAGAAATCGCCAGATACATAGAGAAATTATAAACTGATTGTGCCCTAGGTGGTAACTATATTCTTGCAGGATGTATAGCAAGTGGCAGAATAGTATAGTAAAAACCCTGATATGCAAACAAAACCCAAAGGACTAGAAGATAGGAAAAGTCTATTCCATTTAATGTAAATGAAATTCTCATTGTCGGCATAGACGAGTACCTCCTTTCGCAGCAAGCATCAGTGATTTTGCAAGCGGAACAATGCGATCAACATAATACGAAAGAGATGCTCCAATGATACATTTTCTTAAGATAGGAATTAGCCAAGCATTTGTGCATGAGTGACTCTCAGCATGAAGAGTGATAGGAAGAAGTGTCAGTAGCTTTAGTGGTCCCATGGCAACCACTGCAGACCCAATGCATTGCTGAAGCTGCAGATAAGTCCAATCTAGTATAAATCAAATAGTATAGATAGACTCTTTATATCGTAAAAAAACTCCAAACATAGATATATGATGAGAATGATGTCTTTTTTCTCAATTATGAAATATCATTGAGGAGTATCAAATTCACTATTATCCTCTGGGACATTCAGAAAAATAACTCAAACCTTCTGAACCAACCATTTTTCTGAAGTAAGAAACCAGTACCATAACTGTAACACAATATGAAAACTATAATATACAAATCTAGAAAGTTACGGAAGAAGTCAAGTGGGAGAATTATTGAAAACTTACATCCTGTGAGCTAGAAGTATCTCCAATTGCATTTTTCATCAAATCGGCAAGCTTTAATATGATATTCTTTGCAAGAATATAAGAAAGCTCTCCTGAAATGGAGATAGAATTAAAATATGTCGCTAAAAAGGTGTGTTATCCACACCAACCTTAATTAACTTTTTGGACGCAAATTGTTTGCTTGTTAAAAATTGTACTGTAAATAACATGTTCAGGATGACAAAACATAGAACCCGAGTGAAAGTACACGTACCAAGTTTCTCGATCAAAAGACATATGACAGTTAAAATGTGCTCGTTTGGAATTCCATCACATGACTTTAGGGCACTCTCAAAGACAGAGCATACACATCTTGCTGTATTTATATTGTCTCCACCGGTTACGTTATCCTCATCTTCACTAGACAAGCTTCCCTCGGCCAGAAGTTTATTCTTATCGATGTGGCTACTGATCAAGTCTTTTAATATAATTGAGGCTTGGGATGCAACATCGTCCGTGGAAATCAGAAGGCCTAAAGCATAGGAATTGAAAGTTGGAATTCATCATAACAGATATATTAAAATCCAAGCCCAAAATGAAGAACAAAAGAGCTAAATGCTACAAGCTAGGAAGGGAACAAACCTGC